ACAATGTTTTACAACATTCAGGAATATCTACAACACTAGGTGACAGTTTTCAGCTGCATATTAGTGACGTCACAACTGTGGCTATGGCTATTGTTGGGAAGTGCGAGTAGTGTGTTCATTTTCGGTTTCGAGTATGACGAAAGTCTTTTATTAAGTGCTAAGTAATGATATATTTGTAAAATTGTACACAAAGAAAAATAAAGATGACAGACATTTTTAAGTCCGCGCTTGGCTATTTTTCTAACAACATGCCACGAGAAGATCACGAATTTGTTGGGCAAATAGTAGAATTAGGAACACAGAAACTGCGTGTAAAAAGAGTCATCGCAGAAGGTAGGCGTATTGTTGTTAAGCCTAAGTTTGACATTTAATGAATTATTTTGTTATTACTCATTTTACTGTATTAGTGTATGCACATTTCGTTAACAAATTATTTAATAATTAAAATCAGTATGTATTAAAGTAATGAGGAATGTTGGCTGGAAAAATTGGGAACAATTTTATGAATTATAAGTTTTACTAAATCTGCTTTTTTAAAGTTAAGATTAAGTTATACTTATAAGTTATAACATTAATTAACTTAAAAGTTATAACAGAGTTATATGTATGTATATAATATATATATATATATATATATACACACACACATATTAGTAATACTGATAGTCTACTCCTAATTTATTAATTATAGACCCAGATGATTTGTATGTTTTACTTTGACTCTGAGTGCTTAATTCATGCACTGATGATGTAGTTAGTATCAACAAGTAAAAAACTAATTATTTATCTTACTCTTAGCATGGATTCAAGTTCAGGAGTATTACATGTTTTCTAGTTGTTGGAAATGGTATTTACTTAGTTTACTTATATTTTCAAAGAGCTTTTAATAAGGTGCCACAAAAAAATTAGTTAAGATTTAAGTAAACCACATTGGTTAGGGTTAAGGAACTTGGGAATACTTATAGACTTATAAATTTGAATGTAGAATGGTTAGAAAAGAAAGCAAAAACTATAACTTGAGGAGTACTTCAGGGGGTGAGTACTTTGACCTTTGTTTTTTTTTATTATTATTTACATTAATGATAATGATATGGACATAATTAGTAAAATTTGCAGATGATCTTAAAGTTAAACTCTTGGATATTTCTTGCTGTATTAATGATGTTGAAGTATTACAGAAAGACTTGGATTGGATAAATATTGGACAAATTGTGTGTAATTATAGCAAGGGCAAGATAACATATTTGGGTTATAATTTGAATCACACATCTAATATAAATGGCATCCAATAGTATGATTGATTAAAAGGATTTCATATGACAGATATGTCACTCAAGCCATTAAGATAGTGCTATTTACTTAATATAAATGTAGGATGTATTTATAGATGTTTATTTAAAAGTCAAAACAGGTAATTATCATATACAAATAACTAGTTAGGCCTCTTGTACTAGTGTGTACCTAAGAATTTATTTAGTTATTGTACAGGGTTCAGAGGGGGGTAACAAGTAGTAGAATGATTTCAGAAATGGGAGGATTATCTTATGGGGATAGAGTAAGGTCTTTTAACTTGTTTTATATTGAGAAAAGAACACTAAGAGGTGATCTTATTGGCATACAAGTTTATATGAGGGATTGATAGGATAGAAGGCTATGATTTCTTTTATTTTCTAAAAAGTGGGTTCCTTGTCATCAAATTCATTGTGTTATGTTCCAAAGACAGCAGGATGAAAGTTTAAGATATGAAAAAACAGGTTAAGCTGCAGTTAAAACAATTTTATTTTTGTTATAAGTGGTCAGCCTATAGAATAGTTTGCCTTCAGGTGTGATAGAAGTTATACAAGGAGATTTATGATAGGGTTTGGGTATAAGAAAAGGGGATTTCTGTCTGTAGTTTGGAGTAGTGTGAAAGTAGAAAATAGGAGAGCATAAATGGTCTAGGTAACCCCTCATTATAATTATAAAACACAATGAATGGTGTGTTGTAACTAATATTCAAATATACAGTTACTAAGTGCAAATTTTGGTTTATTGGCATTTACCAAATGTGTTACAATTACTGAAATCTGGAGTTATGTACCATCACTTTGGTACAGTTATTTATGAATCTAAGTTCCCAAACTGACAAATATCATTTAAATAATTGGTCAAACTATCTGAATTCTAAGTTTTAAATGTGTAAACTTTTCTGCTATATACTGCCAGAAATTCTACATTTGTGTTTCTGAAAGCACCACACATTCAAGAACCACATTTATAAGTGTGTGTGTGTGGAATTAAACGGCAGTTGTATAATTCATATATGGGAATTTCTACATAAAATTAATTTTCCACTTGTTATAAAAAAAATCAAACTCATCAATGAATGTTAATAATTTAAGGCTTAATTATAATTAATGAATAAAGCCATTGCTCTCTGTCTTTGACATCTGATGTAGGTCTAAGGTCAACATTTTGTGTTAAAAATTAAACTTCTTGTGTGTGTGAGTGAGAGCAACTGCCTAATTTAGTTTTTGAATTTATATAATTCTTTATTACTATCAGTAACTAAATTTATATTTTTCAACAAATATTTCTTAATTTTAAATCACATTTTTTTTTGTTAATTCTATTAACTTGTCTATAAACAATGTCAGTCAAAGAGCATTATGACTTTTGAAACCAGCTACTATTATGATGTATGGATTTTTTTTCCCTATTTTGAAGGTAACACTCTTTCTTTCTCCAAACTATGACCCTGTCTTGATTCTTTGTCGGTTAGCTAATTTAATTCTTTCTGTATTCACATCATGCTGTAGAGTTCAGAGTATAATGATTATTTACAGGTGGATTTGGGTTTGTGTTTGTGGCACAAGATCCTACAACTGGAAAGGAATATGCTCTTAAGGTAAGGTTAAACTTTATTTTCATATTTTGTTTTATATATAATGTACTTAGTTCTAAAAATAGCATGTACTTTTTTTTTTTGTTGATTGTGTATTCTGGCTTGAAAATATTTTGGTAAGAGTTCCATATGGCACCCCCACTCAATTTTAAAAAAAATTCATCAGAGTAATATTTATGTATTAATAAATCATATTAATAGTATGATCTGATAATTTTAATACATTTTTATACCACTTACTTCATTAATTAGATGTACAATCTTCTTGGGGATAAACTTTACATATGTCTTGTATAAAGACATCAAAAAGGCTACTTTTATCAGAATATAATGTTCTCCACATGTATTCACACAAATGCTTGTCAAATGTCTTTGCCCTTGCCCCAATTTTTCTAATACACCCCTTAAAATAAACCCTTTTCCAGAATCGTTTTTTATTTGCACTTCTACAATTTTTGGGTGGGGGTGCCATATGGAACTCTTTCCAATATTTTAATGATAGATACCGGTTAAGTATAACTTTCTCAGCTTTTTACTTAAACTACCTAAGACAAATCACAGATTTTTATTTCAATTATTTTAGACAAAGAATCAAAATGTTTTTCAACTGGGCAGGTTTTTTCAGTTATCAAAAATTTTTTTAGAAATTGTTCTGAGCTGATGCTGTTCTTCAGGTTAAGTATATCATGTTCTTGCTATAGAGCTAGTTTTACATTTTTGGATGCACTTTAAACAGTGTGAAAAAAGAAAATTTTTCCATCTACTACTGTTTAGCCAAGACACGGCTATGTTCTTAAAGTGCAGTTTTTTATTGATCTTAAAATAAAAACATTTCTTTTAGCACATACAGTAATATTTACAAGTATCATCACTAATTTGACATCATATTTGTCTCTGCTATGGCAAACTAACATAAAGAAAAATATGAGTAATAATAATTGATGTATGAAGTACATTAGCTCCTTCATGCTCAAAGTTATCAAACTAAGACACAAAAACAACTTTAAACATGATATAAATACTACTTTTGATATAAAGGACCTGATACATTTTAGCAACTTGTGGTTGCCTTCTTCACAGGTTTTTTTCCTACTGTGTAACAACATACTTATAACATTCAAGAATGGTGCAACATTGCTGTCTAGAATTATATAGTAAGAGTTTTATATACCCATTGGCTTGTCATAAAGAAATGCTTTTTTTATAATTATTTCTATGGTGTCAGAGTTAAACCATTGAGGAAAAACTTTTCTGTATATGATTTTAGCAGGATTCCAATTGATAATATACTGGTAGTCCTTTTACATTATGTGATAGGCTACAGCTGATTTGTCCATTACTCAAGTTTTATTATGGTTTTGGTGTTCTTTTATTCTTGTTTGCAGTGATTATTTTATTTGCCCAATGTAGATTTTGTCACATTCACAGGGTATTTAATTAATTTCTTATTTTTTGTATCTTGAATTTTGTCTATTCTTTTATAGACATTGTTTCATAACTTGTTCATAGGCTTAAAGCTACATTGACCCTTCTATCTTTTGAATACGTGTCAGGTTTTACTAGGAACTTGAGGATAGGAAGTTAAACATGTATTTTTTTTGTCTTTATTGTTATGCTTTGTTTGGTTATTTGTTTCTTAATTTTGAAGTATACTTTGCCAATCATGCTAATTTTCTGCCTTTGGCGTAACATAATAACAATGTTTAGGGACAACAAGGGACCTATTGGTCCATCTTGGCTGTCACATCATCTAAATTAAACTATTATAAATCTTAAATCCATCCCTTATCATTCATATATTTATCAAGCTTTCTCTTAAACTCACTTAAATTGACTGCCTCCACAAAATCCAAAGGTGACCCATTCCAGAGGCCATCCACCCTGTTAGAAAAATAAAACTGTCTTAGTTGAATATTTTGCAATAATTTTTATAAGAAATTCAGTCCCTTAGCAACAGCTTCATCATCTGAATAGATATTAAGCATTCTTCAGGTCATAGCTTTAAAAATGCCTTTTACTAAGAGAAAGAGTGATTTGATCTGATTTCTGGAAACAAACTTGCATCTCTAGACTTTCTTTGGACTTCCGTTTTTAGGTTACAATAAAGGTCATGTATAATTAATACATCAAGAAATGGCAACTTGTCATTATTTTTGACACAAATGTAATACTTGGATTTCTACCATTTAAATATGAGAGAAAAAGTAAAGTTGAATTTAAATTCTTTAGAAACAAGGTGAAAGTATCATACACATATCATGTCCAGAAATCAAATGTGATAGGTGATTTTTGATAAATTTCCTCATCAGATTTATCCTCATAGATGTCATATAATATGGGTGACAAAAGGGAACCCATACTTAGAGCATGGTTTGATTGATAGTAATGCCCTCATAGATTATATACTTAGACATTACACATAGTGGGCAGGTGCTAGAGGATTGGACATTGGCTGTTTACTTCTTTTTTTTTAAGATAGATGATAAAAACTGTCCCAGTAGTTACTGGAAACAAGAAGAAAAGAATACAAAAATCATTGTAAAAAGAAAAAAAAAAGGACAAATCAGCTGTAGCTTATCACATAACAGAAAAGGACCATATTGTCAATTGAAATGATCCCAAAATTATTGCACAATGAAACCATGTGGACAGAGAAACGTATGTGAATCTCTAGAAATATTAAAGCAGAGAGATAAGATTATAAATCTAGACAAAGAACAAGTGTTATACCAAATATATGAAAAAGTCTTTTCTCAGTGAGTTAACTCTGACATTATAAAAATATATTTTAAAAAAGTATTTCTTTATTAGAATACAGTTCTTATACAATACTCTTAATATATAATTCCAGATGGCACTGTTGCACCATTTTTGAACTTAATAATTACCATTACACACTAAGTAAATACCTCTAATGAAGACAGTAGGGGCTACAGAAGCATTTCAGGTTTTTAAAATTATAATACTATTTTAATTTATGCTTTATAAAGTTATTTTCATGTCTTAGTTTGAATGATACACACACATTTTCTTGCACTTGGGTGAGGCTTGGTGTAAACATGTTGCTTATTGAAATTAGATTAAAAACTGATAAAATCAATCTAGAGTAAACATCTAAGATCTACACCAGAATCAAGACATCAGAGTGTGAGTTTTGTTTGTACTTTAAAAAAAAAGTTCCAAGTTATAATACGTTATTTTGGTAGTGATGTATTAAAGTTTCAGTTTCAACATCTTTGGTATAAATGTAGATTTGCACTGTTAACTCTTTAATGAAAGTAAGAAATAAACTTCATAGGTGTAAACATATGAAAACATAAATTTTTAAGTACTTTCCCAAGGTTCATGTTCTTAAAAGAGACATAGGTAAAACTTCTCTAACTTTAATGCAGTAACAGTTTAAGTTGTTTAAACCTTATTATGCATTATACAAGTATCAGCTTTGGTTTAAAATAAAGAATTATTAATAACTTGATCTTTTTTATCAGAGACTTTTGGCAGCTGATGAAGAAGCAAGTAAAAGTATTTTGCAAGAAATATCTGTACTTGTATCCTTATTGTATTATTAAGTTATGAAGGAAAAATTGTATTTTGTTTCTTAAGTTCTTAAATCATTTCAATAACATAACCTATAATGGGGATGATGATTGTGAAACAATAGGCAATTTTTTTCCTGTTTTTATGTATTACCTTTTCTTTCTTACTAGTGTCTCCTTTTTTATTTGTAACTTTGTTTAATGCAAACTGGAGTTTATTATGAGACATTTCTATTAAGGTAAATAAAATAATGACCTTTATCTCCAGAATGTATCTTTATTACCTCATTATTTTGTTGTCATAGTTTCATCAGGAGTTATCAGTATTCTAAAAGTTCAATTTAAACATTTTTCAATTACATCATTCAATACTGTATAAGTATGTATTTCTGCTTTATTATTTCTCTCTTGAGAATGATACCTGAATCGTAGCCTTAACTTAAATTAGATGAGATATTTTAACTCCAAATACCTTTATAGTGTTCGTTCTTTCCGTAGTTCATTGTATATTATGCTTTATAAAAACAAGGTGTCATAATTAACTGTTGTAGTATAAGAAAAAAAAGGGTATTATTTAACTGTTATAGTATAAGAAAAAAAAATGATAATTTTATTTTGAAGAATAAATCTAGGCAGATAAGCAATATTTAAAGCCATATAATATTCTTATACAATGTGAAATTTTGAGAATGGAATGCAGTTATTAATTTTTCATTTGTGCTAGAAGATCAAAATATGTATTGTATATGAAAAATGTACTTGAAGAAAAAGTTTTATTTCAGAGTTTAGTAAAATCTCTTGAATCATTATGTATATTCAGTTCTTTTCTCGTACCAATTGGTTATTGAAAAATTTGTTTATCTTTTTTAACCTCATCTATTTTTAATGTAAGCTGCTTCAAGGGTTTAAAAAGTAGTAAAATAAAAAAACAAGTAAAGAATGTCATACACCCATAAATATTCTTTATGAATAAAAATTAATATACATATAAAGAATATTAAAATGGTAATTTTTTATATATTATGACAAATATAAATTTGTGTGATCACTTAAACTATACCAAAATTGTTTGTGTACAAATAGTAAGTTTGTTTGTTAAAACAAGGTTTTACTTGAAAATCATTTGTTCATGAAACTCGTACAGAATAGTTTCCGAGAATATTGTATTCACATAATATTACTGAGATGGGAACTAATGTTTAAAAGTATATATATATATTGGTGATGGAAGAGTATTTAACACCTTGTAGGATTCTTTTTTCAAAAACCCCTAAAACTATTCTTGGTAGACAGTGGATCTTAATTTTCAGCAATAATTTTGATTCCATCAGAGTACTAAGCCTACCTTAAAATGTAGTTTATGATAAATTACTTAACCCTTTGAATACCAAGCTGAGTATCTTAGGTACTAACAGTTTTATATTGGGTCAAGTTTTTACTGTCATTGGTACATTTGGTCCAGCACCATATAATGTCTCATTAAAAAAAAAAACAAATAATGTTTAATTTCATTTTATCTTTTCATATATCACAGATGCATTAGTTGATACCATCAAGAGAGGTGTACATGAATCATGATTGATGTCATATGTATCTGATATTTTAGTAATAAGATGGTTAAATAGCTTAACAGCCCTGCAGAAAAAGCTCTCAGGCCACTCTAACATCATAAAATTTATGGCAGCAGCAGCTATAGATAAGAACCAGTCTGATCATGGCAAGTCTGAATATCTTTTATTGACAGAACTATGTACAGGTATGTATTCTTTGAATATTTTCAGTAACTGTATAAAATGTCCAGGTCTGGCAATTATGAATGGTGTAGTATAGATATCAGAATGGCATATGCTGTTAGAAATTGTAATTTGTCCTTATTGTTGTTTAATGATAATGTAAGTGGTTTGCATGTATATGTTCCATTTAAGAACACATTAGAAATAAAGGCTAGATGACAGCCACATTTTGTACATCTATAAACATTATCTGTGATATAAAAAATGGAGAAATAATCCTGGAATTGTTTTATTTCTTATTAACAAATAAATCTGTTTTTTATAATATAGAACCTACTTTTAACAGGTTTACAGTTAAATGTTTTTTATGGTACATGATGGCTGTAGATGTTGGGGACATGAAGAGAACAATATTTAGCATATCATATGTGAACCTGCTGTATTTTTCAATTTTAGTAGTTTGAGAATTAGATACTTTACATTAAGATAATTTTCTTCAATATGTTGTTTTAATTTTCCAGGAGGACCTCTTGTGGATGTTTTGAAAGCTAGACAAAGTCCTTTAATGTGTGAACAAGTTGTGCAGATATTTTATCAGACATGTCAAGCTGTTCAGCACATGCATAAACAGCAGCCTCCAATCATTCACAGAGACCTTAAGGTTGACATTGTTTCACTAAAATTGTGTATTTTAAATAAATTCACTGTTTTAGAATTTTTTAGTTTGGAAATTTGTTTTTTTAAGGTTTATATTTTTATCAGAGGAACTTGAAAAGAAGAAAGTAACTTTTCAGTTGTTTTATTAAAATAGTAGAAAAGTTCAATTTATAATTTACCGAAAATACACTTTTGTAAGAATTTTTTGCATAATTTAATATTCATAATGTGATCTAAGCTCAGGCCAGATTATCTGAAAATTTATTTTGTAAATTTGTTTTTTTATTATCTGCAACTGGAATATTTAAGCATAGTCTCGTATGTTATATCTTTTCATACTGAATTAATATTATGTAAATTACTTTAATATTTCTTAAGCAGTATTACTGAGTATAGTTTTTGAATACACAATTGCTTATAATACAAGCTATGGTTGAAATACACTATTTTTGTCGTATCACTTTTTATTCTCTTTATTTTCTGATCTAAGAATGAAAATAAAGGCTTAACTTTACAAAATTTAAAAAGATGAATTCTATGTGAAGCCCTTTTTCTTATCATAATTTTTTATTTGTTTCCACACAATTTGTAATTATTAATTGTTCATAATTCACATTGTATATATATAGTTAACATTATTTTCTTTTATTAGATAGAAAATTTACTATTGAATAGTAGAGGTGAATTAAAACTTTGTGATTTTGGATCTGCGACGACAAAGTCCTATCAACCCGATAGTTCTTGGACTGCTATACAACGTAGTCTTGTAGAAGATGAAGTAAGTTAAATAGTTGTTGGTATTATAAAGTTTTTAGGTTTGTGTGTTTAATTAAGAGTAGAATAACTAATGGTCAAGCATTTTTACAAACTTTCACTGCAATTGTGCAGTTTTCATTCACATTTGCGTAGTCTACAAATACTAAACTATTTCCTATTTTTACAAACTGAAATTCTTTTAAGATGGAACCTTGATTGTAGTACATATAATTTGTTTTGAAATTCAGAAGAGGAATAAAAATTAATAATAATGACTCAAATTTGGATTGGAGCATCTAATGAAAGAAACTGTAAAATAAATCTAGTTGAACTGATTAGAGGATGCTGTCTGAGTTTAAGTATCATTAGTTAAAGAACACTTTTTATTTTGACACTTTCCCCAAATTTATATTATGCTAAAAAGTATAATGCTTATGTGTAGTGTAAGACTTTAACTAAAGTTAAATATAAAAATTGAAGAGTCAAAATTAAGCTAAGTAAATAAAAATAGATTACAAGTTGACAAACAAATCATTACAAAGCTTAAAACAAGAAATGTGATACTCTGTATAAAATTATTTAGAACACATAATAAAAAACCTCCATGTGAGTGGTACTCAATTTTGCATTGCAGATGTTTTTGACAGTATTTGAAGTTTGTCTTCTAGATATTATTTATATCAATATTCAATTGGCACTTGTGTAAATGCTCAAAGTAAAAAATTAAATTTCAGTAAACAACTATTTGTTGTACACAATTCTAAGATAGAAAATGTTAATGGAAAAAACTTGATATATGTATAAAATATTATGAATGTGAAAAAGTTTATATAGGACAAACTAGAAGAAATTTAAAATACAGAATAAATGAACACAAATGTTAAGAACAATAATATTACTATCTCATTATTAGCAGAACGTATTGATGAAACAAAATACACAATTCAATGGGGAAAATTATTATTTTAACAGGATGTTAAATGTAATTCATATGAATTTATTGAGATAATAAAAAAAAAAGGTAAATTTAAAATATTAAATAAGAATGATGGACCTCATGGAAATGTTGTCAGCAGATGGTACGAAATTATTTTAATATGTAAATTATATAATGATGATTTTCTGTAAGTGTATAAATAAATGTGATTCATGCACAACATTGCATTCCCGAAGATGATCTAGTAAACACGTCGAAACATGTTGGGTGTATGAAATTGTTTCCAGTGTCATTAGAGGCTTTTCTTTCTGTACAGTAAGTTATTTAATGTTTTATTGTATGTTTGAGATGGGAAATAGTCTCGTTTTAGAATTATATACAATAAATCATTGTTTATTAGAAATTGGATTTTTAACTTTGATTATTTATACCAGTTTACAACTCGTTTAAATTTTTTTGGTATCTCACTTGTCAGATATAACTTGAAGAGTGGCTTCTACAACCAAAATATATTGTTAAAATATAAAAAAGATTAAGTATATATATATACAAAATATAATTGATTTCAATGTATAATAAGAATTTTTACTCATCTTCAATTCTAAAAAATAACATTTTGTATTACCAAGGTATCTGTAAAGAAGAAGAATGTTTTGTTGTGACTATTATAAAAATCTCTGCTAGCTCCCGGGTACCCACTTGTAATTAATGCTTGATAAATATCTGTTATTATGGTGGGTACTGTAAGTATGTAGCTGTGTAGGCTGATTTAATAGAATCCCTGTGCTGTCATGTAATATATTTATTCCATAAAAAATTTTATTTAACTCTAGAATTATTGGAGCTGCGTATGGCCTAGTAGTTAGTGTGCCAGGCTGTGGGTGGATCTAAGGGTTTAAAGTTTGTACCCTCATACAGTAAACGAAATTACACTCCACTATTTGTGACCAAGGGTGCATTGAATTAAAGTAGCCTAAGAGATGTTAGTGCCTTCCATCAAGTCAATTAATTCAAAGTTAGGAACAACTAACACACACAGCTTTTGTGTAGTTTGCACAAATTTCTATAACAAACAGTCAGTAAGAACTACCAATAAAGTCATCATCTTTTTAAGAACATTTTGCTAAACTTGTTGTTAAACACATGTTTAAACAAATCTATTCAATTATGTACAAGCTGCCCAGTGTCGGCTAACAATACGAAGAACTAAATTGTGGCGCAATGCTACAAGTTCTTCAAATACCTATAGAAAGATAGGTTTTCTTTTTTGTGAGTGTAAACATTTAAATACACCATTTAGATTTTGTATACCTACACTACTAT